GAATTAGACACAATGCGAGTAGCACTTTCAGCTCCGACAACTTCCTCTGCACCTACCTGATCATTTTGGGGGCCCCAACACATTCAAATGTAAATGTTATTCGTGCTATCAGGTACCAAATAAGATTTTCATTATTATTGTTATGATTTTTGTATGTTTTCCTGGCTGCCCACAATATTTTTAGAATTCTTCGCCAACACCAAAGTTCAAAAGCATCAATACTTTCCCCGTCTTGCTTCTTCATTGTCCAGATTTCACTTTGATAGAGTGACATAAAATAGCATAACCTGGACAGTTCTCATCTTTGTTCTTATAGACACACTGGTACGTTTTATGAGCTTTTCTTGGTCTTTTATCCTTGCTCTTCCAAGTGCCAGTCTGCATCTTGGTCTTGAGAGCTGGATCCTTTATTACTATTTTTTCCAAGGAGGCAGAAGTTGTTTGCTGCTTTTTCCCCTCAATAAGCGTTTATTTGCAAAGAACAAAGTTCTTCAGTTTTTCCATAGTTTGCGTTACAGAACAAAGTTGAAAAAAATAACAAAAGCGACTACATAAAGGGATGAAGTGCGGCCTTCTTATTACAGACATACCAGGCAGAGACCTTCATATTAGCCATAACAATGAACAGTGAAATAAAGTTATTACTATGCGCCCACTTTGAATAAAAAGATACGTACAAATAAAAATGATTAGATTGTGAAAGCACAGTGGCTTGTGTTAATATTTTTTCAGTAATCATGCGTAGCTATAAGCCAGGTATTTTACATTGGAAACAATAGTAGTCTATTCAAATCTAAAGCAGGTGTTGCAAGGGTAAGGTCATTCAATTCCAGATTTCTTCAAAATGATTGAGAACTACCTATGGGCATATGTAATCTTTCTAAATGTTGGATGGAATTAGCATCGTCTATGTGGGGAAAAACGGAGACAGGCAATGTTGTGCTACTGTTTTTCTGACCAAGAATAGAGCCAGCTAATTCGAGGTGAGATTTCTAATTCCCAGGATGCCCATCTTTGGCTTAAGGGAGCAACGAAGATGGAATGCATGATTAATAATATAAAATATATCTTGCCAATGGTGAACTTAAAGTGCTAAGAATACGGCCATTAAACACAGAGGGGTGAGCATCTGTGTCCCTCAATGAATTCAAAGAAAATAATTTTATGATGAGTACAAAAATGCTGTTTTCTTTCTTGTTGATTGAGGGACACAAGATTTGGGACATCCAAAAGGTGGTCCAACTGAAGGGTCGGTAACACCACAAACTGAGAAATGCCTGCAGCTCAAATCAGAAGAGGATGAACATCCACCTGGTAAAACTTAGAGAAGGTGCGAACAAGACCAGGTAGCAGCCAAGCAAATGTGAGAAACCGTTGTCTGGCACTAGAAAGGCCAAGAAACACTAGGCCTAAACTTCTTTGTTGGAGTAGCTGATCACTCTTACATCCAGTAACAGCTCTGAAAAGGTACTCCAAAGCAGTTCTGAAGAGATTCACCACAAAAAGCATGGGAAGAAAGAGACCAGACCAACATTTCAACTAGAGTTGTTCTCAGAAACCAGATTCAATGGGACTGCTCCTTGTATGTTAGTGATCCCAAATATTGCACCACAAGGGAAACAACTTATCAGAGTATTCTCTGTAGGCAGTCAATGTAGGCAGCAGCAAGGACTAAGCAGGGTGAAAGTGTGTCTCTTGCAAATAGAAACAATGGCAGAAAAACTTCTACCTCGCACTAAAGTCAGAAACAAAGTGTGGACTGTGCGCGCATGTGAACTAAGTGACGCAACAGTCAAATCCTCAGCTTTCCAACACCTCTGTAGAGACCAATGTGGAGAACAAAAAACAGATATAATAATAGCACTCAACAGTTACAATAAATAATGTAGCTCCCAATGCTCAGACCAGGTGGTCTACTCCTGAATGAGTCTTAACCCTGTCACAACCCATGTTGTGATGATCCCGTCATTGGTCCTTAAGTGGTTAATTAGACCCCCGGTGGCTCTGTTCATATGTGTAGAGCCGACGGCCAGCTTTACAGTAAAAGCGATTCTGGTGGCTCAACTGCTGCCAGATCGCTTCTACGATCCCGTAAAGTGACCGCTCCTGACACCCTGGTCATGTTTCCCAGGCTCCGCTGTCCCTTCTGCGGGCCCAGGGCCAGCATCTTGGATGTTGGCAGGAAGCTGGGAAGTTGAGCGGCGAACGTCCGTTCACCAATCTCCTCCCCATTCTATGGGACTGGGAGCGACGCGTATTGCATCACTTCCGGTGCATTTTTCACTAAATTTTTGGGTTTGATAATAAGTTGCGCTAATGTCATGCAACATAAAAATTAAACAACCAGCGTTTTATTCGAAAGGGTTTTGGCTTTCAGAAAATATATAATGTTTGGGGGGTTTCAAGTAATTTTCAGGCTTAAAATATGGATTATAACATGTAAACAAAAAAAAGGCCTTGGTCCTTAAGGGGTTAAGAGACTGAGTCCCACCAGAAGGTTTGCCACAGCTCAATACCCTGTGCGGTCAATACAAACAGCCTGATTTCTGTATACATCAAGGAAGAGTAAGTCTTCAATGTGAGCTAAGTTTATATATATGCACAATTAAAACAAAATATAAATGTTACCTTTGCCATGAAATCCTCAAATGGTTCAACAAAGATCTTACTCTGCTGCTGAATAAACTGCTCACAAGCTGCCTTGAGGTGTCTATCAACATCTTTCTTCGAGTCAAGGTAATGTTCCTTTATTTCTGGTGATCCCTATAAAAGTAAAGGATGCATTTGCTATGGTTTTACTAGCAAACCTAGTAAAGAAATGAAAAAACTGTAGCAAGCAAAGAAAATCACAACTACCTGGAGGAGGAACTCGAGGATGGCATTGTTGCTGTTGAGCCTGAAGAATCCTGGGACAGTCCTTGGGTGAAAAATTTTAAATGCAGCATCTAGAAAGCAGAGAATGGTTAGAGATTTGTAAATCATTTACTCGTGTCAAAAATATTTTTGGACAACCTGTACACAAAAGGAGACAACATACTTTGAGTGGGATGATATCGAAAGGAGTATGTTAGTAAATAGGGATGCACCCGATACCGATACTAAGTATTTGGGCGAATACTTGTACTCGCCCAAATGCTCCGATACTTACCCCCGATCCTCTGACCGGCAGTGCAGAGAGAACATGGAGCCTGCTTCCTTTCCAATCAGGAAGCCAGGCGGTGGGTTATGACCCGCCTCCCTATTTGGCTAGGAAGCCGGCTTCACGTGTTGCCAAGCAGCCTGGCTTCCTAACCAATCAGGAAGCCGGTTGGCACGTAATGACCCGCCTTCCTGATCAGTCAAGAAACCAGGCTGTCTAGGAACAACTGAAGCCGACTTCCTGGCCAATCAGGAAGCCGGGAGGGGGGTCATGACTTGCCACTCAGCTTCCAGATAGGCTAGGAAGCCGGCTCCACTTGTTGGTAGGAAACTTGGCTCCTGGTAGAAAGCAGGGCGGCACGTCATGACTCGCATCCCAGCTTCCTGATTGGTCAGGAAGCCAGGCTGCCTAGAAACAAGTCAAGCCGGGTTCCTAGCCAATCAGGAAGCCTGAAGGCGGGTTATGACATGCCACCCGGCTTCCCGATTGGTCAGGAAGCCAGTGTTCTTTCACTAGAACACTGGCTTCACAGGCAAACAGGAAGCCGGGCGACGAGTCATGACCCGCCGCCCAACTTCCTGGTAAATGGGGCACACGGCACCGATACTTGGCATCAGCAAGTACCGGAAAAAAAATATTGGTATCAGAGCATCCCTATTAGTAACCCAACCGACATTACACAAATACCATTGAGATCATTAACATTACCAGAAACAAAAAAATGGTATGTGGAATGTTCATTGTGGTCATTACACTAAAGTGTATGTGTGGGGTAAAATCTAAAAAAAAAAAAAGAAATTAAAAACAGCTTTCAAATACATGCACATATGTCCTTGTTAAGTCCCCTTATAATCCTAGACCACAATGCTGTAGCTGTAAAGCGCAAACAGATCCAAAATTTATACTAAAAAGTCCGCTTAACATAACAAATTGTATTGAAATGTAGACACATGCATAAAAGAAACCAAATCGCTAACAAGTCCAGCCAGGCTGCTCATGAACTGAGGGGAGTACTCATGGACATTGAAGGACATAAATCAAAGAAAGTGCACTGGCATAACATCACGAGTTTCTTTAATATATAAAACAGAAATTAAAATAAATGCACACACAAATGGAGACCTTACGCCGCAGAGCAAACAAGGTAAATTCTATTTCAAGTAACCCCAGGTCCAAGCGTGGGTAAGTGGGAAGATGATCCACTGGAAATGAAGGGAATGGAATGATGGCCTCTTGATTGGCCTGGTGCGGATTATGTAAATCCCACGCATGCGCACGGGAGTTACTTCATTTTGGCAGAGGACCTTGCCCAGCTTGTGCCACTAAGCTGCGCATTACTGGCTCAGTGCACACAAACGCTGGCAGGAAGGGAGCATTTATGAAAGAAGAGACATACAGGGTCTCTGCTGTCATATAAACCCTACTTGTCAGCATTTTTAAAATCTTAACTTTACTACCACTTTACCTTTTATTGTATATATTAAAGAAACTTGCTACGATATTTCAGTGCGCTCTCTCTGCCTATGCCTTTAACGTTATAATCCAGAAGTGCAGTCTGCTCCTAACTTCCTGTAGTGGACTGACAACACAGCCACTGCGCTTTTTAGAAACCTATATACAGCCTACTATACTTGGATACCCTAACATTAATGACACCAGGCTCAAGATGTTATGTGAAACAAAAAAAAAATTGTTTGTGTTTACTTTTCAGGTGGTGATCAGATTAAAGTTTGAGAAAAAGTAAAATATCCCTACCCCTAACAACATAGCTTAAAAAGAACTCAGGATTTCTTTTTTGTAATTAACCCTTGCAGTGGGGCTACCCGCACACTGCAAGGGTCAAGGGCTCATTTGTGTCTAGGGAGTAAAATAAAAAAATGTTAGGCTCACCTGAATCTCCCAGGCGGCTTCTTCTTAGACAAGTCCTTCCAACGTCTCTCCCCATCATCTGCAGTGGTCTAAGGTCCCGAAGATCATCAGCGTGTATAACGTGAGGACGCTGAAGGGAGGGGGAGAGAGGCTGAAGGATGCACTGTCACAGCTGGTTGGCTCGGATCTTCGGGTGAGTATACAGGCAGTCCCCGGGTTACATACAAGATAGGGACTGTAGGTTTGTACTTAAGTTGAAATTGTATGCAAGTCGGAACAGGTACATTTTTTAAGTGCAACTCCAGCCCAAATTTTTTTTTCGTTTTGGATAGCATAGGGAAGGGTCACGGTTGTTTTGCTGTCTGTTCCTGTTGTTCAGAAGATTATAATAAACGGTAATAAAAAAAAGTTTATTTAAAATGACACACCAAAAAAAGTTTTTTTTCTATTTTTAATTTTATTTGATAAACGTTATTTTTTTTGATTGCATTTTTAATCAACTTTTTTTTTACATTTGTATGTCTTTTTAATTTTATTTATTTATTTTAATGCTCTGAGCAATAGCCAGCCTGCTATTGGATATTTCAAATTGCAATAGCAGGCTGGCTACTGCATCTGCCCACTGCCTGCCGTCAGTCAGCAGAGGAGGGGCCTGAAGGAGAAAGTGCTCTATCAGGTCCTCCCATGCTGATTGACAGGAGGCAGTGGGCGAGTGCAATAGCCAGCTTGCTATTGGCTATTGCATTTTACAATATCCAATATGAGCAATAGCCAGCCTGCTATTGGATATTTCAAATTGCAATAGCAGGCTGGCTACTGCATCTGCCCACTGCCTGCCGTCAGTCAGCAGAGGAGGGGCCTGAAGGAGAAAGTGCTCTATCAGGTCCTCCCATGCTGATTGACAGGAGGCAGTGGGCGAGTGCAATAGCCAGCTTGCTATTGGCTATTGCATTTTACAATATCCAATAGCAGGCTGGGTATGGCTCCCAGCCTGCAGATGAAGAGGAGACAGGGGGGCGGGGCAGAGGAGCCGCGGCCAGACGGGGGAGCAGAGGATCGGCCGGACCGGGGAAGAGAAGCCAACGGACCGGACGAAGAGGAGGAGGACGGGACAGCAGCGGAGGTACGGGGGGCAGTGGCGCAATGCAGCAGTCTGTGTCCCCCCTGCCTCCGCCAACACAGGCGGGGAGAGCAGCGCGGATTTGAAGGAACACAGACCGCTGCAGCCACAGTTCTCCTAAATGTACCGGCGGCTGCCAGTACATTTAGAAGAACTGTGCACCCCGGTTCGTAAGTATGGATTGTCCGTAATTCGGACGTCCTTAACCCGGGGACTGCCTGTATTTTTGTTATTTTAGAACCTAGACAAAAATGAGCTACACCCACACTGCAAGGGTTAATAAAAACATTCCTGGAGTTCTTCTTAAAAGGGCAGACACTTAAATCTGGAGCTCACTGTGAACTATTGGGTCTTCCTCATTCTCAGTGAAAGTGAAAAATACTATGCATTAGAAAATACTGTGGAGCTGAAGTCCGAGACAAAGTTTTAAAAGGGTACTTACCTTTTATGCTCGCTTTTCAGTGACATGTTGGTTGACACAGAAATGTGCTCAAAGGCAAAAATTGGAGACATTTCTTTTGTCAATCAAGTAAAAACACCAAAAAAGGACATATTTGCCCAGTGACCCACAAAACCAGGACAACTGCATTACTAATCAGGTTTTGGTGATGTTCAAATGCAATCAGTTACAGCTCTGGTTAAAGCAGACGTGTCAGGAAAGTATTAATACTCTGAAAGGCATTTTTTATAAAACAATGAATGTAACATTAAGCAAACATTCACTGCAGGTGAATCAATCACAAATTTAAAACGCATGCACCAGAAAGATAAATCTGATGTGAATGTTTGGTGACTGTTAAGCTGCCCATACACCTTACAATTTATCTGCAGATTTTCAGTGGTCAGATGGAAAAAGTGTAACAGATTGGCCCAGGTGGAGATTACTCCATCCACGCAGTTAAGTGTAGATGGAGGAATCTGTTGCACCTTTTCCATCTGACCATAGAAAATCTGCAGATAATTGTAAGGTGTATGGCCAGCTTTACACTCACTTGCTTAATATACCCCTAAGTGTGTTCATGGAAGAAAGTTTTAAAGACATGCACCATGCAGGAATTGTGTTCCTCTATGTATAACACAATTAACCCTACTTCGAAAAAGTGGCTGAAATGGTTTGCAGTGCCTAGTCAGCATGTAAAGCAACCGGCACTGATTGGTCGCCACATTTTTTTTTTCAAAGACTTTTAGTCATGTGACCCAAAGTAAACTCTATGTCCAATAATAAAGACTCTCTGTGGTTGATTATGACAAAGCGCCATTTCCAAGCAAGGCACAAAATTTGTGTAGTAACAAGCAAACAGCATATTGCAAATGCGCAATCTTTGTATCCCATTAGATGCGATTGCCCATAAAATCCTAGAGCAGGGGCAGGTTTGTGTTTGGTGAAAAAACAAATCCAATGAAGCATTGCAAGTCTTTGACAGGCATGATGCCCAGAGGCAGCACATTATGAGATTTGTAGTCCCACCGCAGCTGGAGTGCCAAGGTTGCCTACCCCTGTGCTAGAGGCATCATACACAGCCTTATTGGCTGCTATTAGGTACTGCTTAGGGATTGCTACTCTTTTCTAATACAATTCTAGTAAGAGGCAAATAAAGCATATTCATTAATGAGCATTTAGCAAAAACGCATTAGTAATGTTAGAGGACCCCCCAAACTTTTTAATGTTAAAGATCACTCTATGCAGTCTTTTATTATGTAGAATCCCCACAATGTACATGGTAAAGAAAAGCCATGGATGTTGTCTTGTCAGTGACATGATGGATCTCATCAGAGTAGATTTTATCTATGGCAGAAATGTAACTTTTTTTTTTTGTGTGTGTGTGTGTGTGTAATAAAAGGTGTCTTTGGCATTTGACTTGTCGGATGATGTCACGGGTCCTCTTTGCCCATTTCATCTTCAGGTGGTGAGTGGATTCTAAATTCCACAGATTATGTGGCGCTGCTCTATGCACTATTCACCTGTAAACCCAGGATGGGCGGCAGAGCTTTTACGCTCTTCGCTCACAGGAAGTGGGTTAAAAACCGAAGCTTCTTTTTTAGAATAGGCAGAATTGGCTTTAAGCATCATACATGTACTGAACCTTTTTAATGTACTTATTGTATGTGTTTGTAGGTTTTAGAATTTACCAAATTTAAAAAGCATTTTTATGCTGGATTTTTCCTGTCTACTAGTCCTTTTTCTCCGAAGCAGCATGTTTCAATAGATTAGTAGTAGAGATGAGCCTGGGCTTGGTGCAAACCCAGTTGGTTTGAGTTGGACCAAGACCGCCTTAAAACTGTGACCGCCACCCCTTCTTCCTCTTGACCCAATCAGTGGCGTCGGGGCCATTCACTAATCTTTTGTGATGTATAGCTGTGGGGCAGCGAATGTACCTCTCCCCCACTGAATGGGTTGGGAGTACGGGGTGGCAGTCACAATTTTAAACAGGCTTGGGCAAATTCAGGCGAACTGGGTTCGCACCAAGCGCAGTCTCATCAATAATTAATAGCAGAGCCAAGCACAAGAGCAGTCACAGTACACAGGCATCATGCACAGAATTGCAGGTGAACATGAAGTAAACTAAAGAAGATCTGTGATGAGTGATCAGAGTAGGCCTAGTATGTGTCCTACTCTTTCAGGCACCACGGCAGAAAATACCTCTTGTTTTCTTGAGGTCCAGGGAAATTTCCTTTATGGTGAATTCAGTGTGAAAAGGTGCAATCTGCTCGCGCATGATGAGAAGATGTTTAATCAGGAACAGCTGCCCATCAACCTGTGTCTAGATCCAAAAGAAACATAGCAGACAAATGATGAAAATATTCACTTCAGAAGAAGAGGTTTAAAATGAACCACAAGAGAAATGTGTTTTTTTTAAAACTAGGATATTATGATAAAATGAAATCTCTAAGAATAACTAAACAATACTTTGCTTGTTTCAAGGGTTTCATTTAGAGTGTATGTCTACCCAAAAAGATTTTTTTTGTAGTTTTGGATAGGATTTTGAGGGTTTGGAACCCTTGTCAGGATTTTATTGCTGTCTGTGTCCACGCTGGGGAGATACACTTTCTCTAATTGTCCTGGTGACCATCATCACTGGGAAGTAATCAAAAATACAAAATTCTGAGGGGTCTATTCACAAACAGGTGAAGAGTTTGGAGGAGGCAGGAGAAGTGAACAATCTAGGCCAAAATAGCAGATTCAGAAAAAATCTCCAATTCAGCTCACTTTCTAGTTCAGCTATTTTGTCCTAGATTGTTCACTTCTCCTGCCTTCTCCAAACTCTTCACCATTTTGTGAATAGACCCCTAAGTTGTCAACAGAACATAAATAAAAGGAAGATTTGTTGCAGTGAGAACTGCCCAACGGGGGATTTCCCTCACTTTGGAGACATTTATTCCTTTTGAGTCTCCGTAACAGGAAGTTAAAAGAAATCTCCCCAATGGGACACCGATTAAAAAAAAAAATGGGAAATTGGGACAGAGATACACTTTTAAAAAGCTGAACCCACCCGAAACTTACAACCTGCAATGAATTCCTGTAAAAACAAATACAGTGGAGACCGTCTATTGTGAAAACAAAAATAGTTTTAAAAGCATTGCAAGATGAATGTTGTCCACTTCCTGTTACTGCAATTGTGAAGGTAACACATCTACCACTTTTCACATTTAACAAGCTTTTTGTACCAGATTTTATATTGCAGACCTTACAAAATGCATGCAGGTATTATAAAAAGGTAACCATGGGTGTCCGACACTCTGGTAAACCGTGTGGGTTTGTAAAATATACGATAGATAGATAGATAGATAGATAGATAGATAGATAGATAGATAGATAGATAGATAGATAGATAGATAGATCTGTGCAAAGGTTTTAGGCAGCTGAGTAAAAATGCTGTAAAGTAAGAATGTTTTCAGAAATAAAAGTGTAAATAGAGCACCTGCTGCCATTTTTCCGCGGCCTTGCTGCCAAAAAGCTTACCCTCCTATGTGGAAACAAAGCTAAGCGACTCAACTATACACGAAAACATAGGAACTGGCAGACAGAAAAATGGCAGCAGGTGCTCTGGACAGAGGAGTCAAAATGTTTCATATTTGGCTGTAGCAGGTGGCAGTTTGTTGGGTGAAGGGCTGGAGAGCGGTATAGGGCTGCATCTAACGATTATTTTCATAATCAATTAGTTAGCCGATAATTTTTTGATCAGGGGGATTTTTAAATTTTATTTGATTTAATTTTAGGTTTTAATTTTTTTTACCTCATTGCTATCACATGGGGGGGGAGGGGTGGTTCACAAGCCTCCTATGTGATGACACACTGGAGGTGACAGGTTCTCTTTAAGGTGATCCCTAGTGTCACCTTTCCACTTGACATTCAGCTGCCTCAGCAGCTAAATCCGGTGAACACAGCAGGCAGAGGCTTGGAGCAGTAGCCAGCCAACTTGGTTATTTTAAATTGCATTAGCCAATAGCAGGCTGGCTACTGCACCTGCCCACTGCCAATCAGCAGTGGAGGGAGCTGAAGGAGAAAGTTCTCCATCCAGTCCTTTTCCGCTGATTGACAGCAGGCAGTGGGCGGGTGCAATATCCAGCCAGCTAATGCAATTTAAAATATACAATAGCAGGCTGGCTATTGTTTCCAGCCGCTGATGGGAGACTTGACGCCGGAGTTATATCAATCCCTCGGACTCGAGTCCGAGGGATTGATCGAACACCGGCAAAAGAGGGAGCACTGGGAGCAGGGCGGAAAAATGGAGCAGGCAGCGGAAGAGGAACGGAGCAGCTGCAGAGGTAAGGCGGGGCAGCGGGGGAGTCACAGCGGTCTCTACTCCTCGCTGGTGCTGGCTGCAGTGGTCCATGTCCCCGCTGCCTCTGCTGCTACAGGCAGGGAGAGCAGTGGGGATTGAAAGGGACACGGACCGCAGCAGCCAGCACCAGCAGGGAGGAGAACGGAGGAGCAGAGTGGCGGCAACTAATTGATGATGAGAATTGTTGCCAATGATTCTCATTATCGATTAAATGAATGTGACACGCACTAAACATTGTGTGTATGTTTCTGGTGCACGCTTGATAAATATGAAAAGACATATATGAAAAAGTACACATAAAAAACACACACACACACACACACACACACACACACACACACACACACACACACACACACACACATGAATACAAACTAGAAAGGCTACCATTTTGCTAGTATTACAAAAATAAAATGCATTTCATGAATGTGTACCATATAATTAAAAAGGAGATGCAATGTTAAAAGGTATTTTGAGGTTTCCAACAAATGTGCTATGTGCTCTTGTACGGTGACCCAGTGATCTTTATCAGAATGATATGGATAATGTGCGACATTCAGGATTGCACATGACAAGGTGAAAAAGGATAATGGCCCATTTGTATATAATTCGACTCGACTGGCCGGAACACCAAGGACATTCCAACATCCCCAGGGCAACAATGCAGGAAATATTACAATGACTAAACTGACAGAGTCCCGTTGGGAAATTTACTAGGTTTATTCACGGCGTGAACATAAAGATATGTTAATTCAAAAAATGCAAAACAAATTATGCTCCTGCCATTCATTTCCTAAAACTGAAGCAGCCAATATTAAACATTATGCATTTGTTTTTCAGCTATATATAGATCTCAACATGTATAAAATAAACATGCTGACATAAGCGAAAAAAGGAAAGCGATTGTTTAATCAAATCCCTGCAATAAAGGTGGATGCTGTGTGAAGGACAGGTGAGCGGATGCTGAATGATGAATAGCCGGGTCATGATTGCATTTGATGAGTGTGAAGGAGCAGGACTTTACATTCATGCACGTAGCTTTGTCTCACAGCTCAGAGACCTCACAGCTAAAAGTAATCCTTTCTATCTGACAATCTGCAGCTAACAGATTCAGACGTCTTCCTCAGGCAGAACAAAATTCTGAAATCGTGTTTATTCATCTAAGCCCAAGCAGCGAGAGGACAGAAGAGGAGAATGGCAGGTACTTATTCTACTATATCAATCCTATAAACTACTTGAGACAGCTAGATCCCATGCCAAAAAACACAGCACCATGACACACGCACACAATATATAGAATGGATAGTACATTCACACATATAAACAAAATAAGGAACTCAAATATACACTCTAGTGGGAGAACAAAGAAAGAAAAACCTTCAATAAAAAAAACATGATTGTTTTGTAATTTAATGTTAAAGCTCAGCTCTGGCCAGGGACCAACCCCACTAAGCTTCACTCCCCCCAAACCCCATCTAGCCAATACTAAACAAAATGGCCCAAATACTTATAAACCTAAATCTGTCATCATGTGACCCAATCTGGTCTCTCTCTGGTCTGAATTGCAGATTGTGAGGTTTATACTTCGGAAACTCATCTCACTGCCTGATGACATGGCCACTTGCCATTGGATATATTGTTGGGGTCCTCACAGGGTCATAATGACTATCACTGGTGTGATTACTTCACAATAAGATAGGAACAACACACAGCAGTGGTGGACCCAAAAGAGGCACTGTGGAGGTTCACATGATGACAGACTTAAGTAAAAGAGGGTTACACATTTTTTTTTATTCTTTAAATAAGATTTTAAATGAGTGGGACAAAATTTGCCTAGAAATGAGCTTTAACGGTTACCCTTCCCTTTCCAGACAGTAATTATCTAAAACAGTCATAAAATTGAAATCTTTTTCTTGCAATATAGCAACCTGGAGGCATTCTGTGTGATGCTGGCACCCCCAAAAATCTAATAAAGTTTCAGCCATTACCTGCAATAGAAGCCTCAGAAATCAGTTTGAGAAACGACATGTTCAACAATGATCTGCACATCAGAGAAAGGTGGACCGTAGAGAAATGGATCATTGCTAAAATCCGTGCACTGTATATAGTTTACCAACAGAGGAGGGCTCTTCTTTTTTTAAGCAAAACTGGAGCTGTAGTTAAGTCCCTAAACACATACTGAGAATACCACCTCTCGGCCCATTGTTTCTGCTTTCTCTCTAGGGTTTGCTATAGACAAGTGGTGAATGACCTAAAAAGAGTCCAAGTGACAAGTGGATGACGCCACATGTATACAGAGAAGAAAGCAAGTCAGCAGCGCACTGATATTTTTATCATCAATACATCTATAATGATGCTAGATAATCATGGCATAACAGGAAAACACTATGAGGGGAATTTATCAAAACTGGAACAGACAAAATCTGGAGCAGCTGTACATGGCAATCAGTTTCTCTCTTTCATGTTCAAATCTTAACTGAAGAGAGAAGCTGATTGGTTGCCATGGGCAACTGCTTCAGATTTTGTCTGCTCCAGGTTTTAATAAATGCCCTTCTATGTTTCCAGACTGCACAGGGTCCGTTCATGTTGCCTGACGAAGTGACCATGCATGGTCCCAAAAAGATTGAGGGGAATATATACACACATATATATACACGTGTGTTGCCTGATGAAGTGAGCATGCATGGTCCCAAAAAGATTGAGGGGAATATATATATATATATCTATATCTATATCTATATCTATATATATATTATATACACACACACATTGTGTGTATATATATATATGTGTGTGTGTGTGTGAGATAGATAGATATATCTCACACACACACAGAGAGAGATTGTATATATATACACACACACACACACACACATTATATATATATATATATA